CCTGATGCGTTTTGTTCTGGTAACTCTTTTTTTTTTTCCGGCAGCAGCCTATTGAATACAGATCTAATTTTTCTAGCAAACATCAGTTCAGCTGGAGACATCCCTGATATTGCGTTTGGATTTGGTGTTATTCTGTATATACTTAAAAACTGCTGTATATTACCATCATCTGTATTAGTACCATTTGTTTTTTTAAGGGCTCTCTTGAACATATCAACAAACCGTTCAGCCTGTCCATTTGACCTAGGATGGTATGGTGAAGTCGTGATGGGGTCAATCCCAGAGTCTTACAAAACATCTTAAATTCACTTCCTGTGAATTGAGTTCCATTGTCGGTGACAATTTTTTTTGATACTCCAAAACGTGCAAACAGTTCTGTAAGAAAATCTTTTGTTACAGAAGCAGTTGGTCTTTTGCACTTGGAATAGCTATCCACAACTATCAAGTAGAAATTACCATTCATGAGTCCAGCATAATCTATGTGGAGTCTGGTCCATGGAACATCTGTTTTTGGCCATGATGTGTATTTTACTGGCGGTGCTTTCGCTGCCATTTGACACCCTCTACAAGTTTTAACTACCTGTTCAATGTCTTTGTCCATATTTGGCCAATAAACGTAACTCCTCATCAGGGCTTTCATACGTCCAATACCAGGATGCCCCTGATGAAATTCCTTCAAAATCCGCTTTTGTAGTAAAACCGGTATCACGACCCTTCCAGCATATAACAGCACTTCATCACATATTGAATATGCTGGTGAAGAAGTTTTATACTTTTCTGAAGTTACAACTTTTCATTTTTCTAATAAAAATGTCATTCTCTGCTTTTAATTTTATTTCATCTAATGTCACCAGTAATTCTTTTACTGTGTTATACATTACTTCCATCAATTCATTTTCTGCTTGTAACAACGCTATCACCGTATCTTCTAGCGGTTCCGAAGACGTTGGGATCAGTCTAGATAAACCATCAGCATGGCTTAATTTTTTAGATGATAAAAATTCCATTTTGAAATTGTAATTCAACAAAATGGTTCCCCATTGTTGCAAACGGTTTGCCGTATGAGTAGGTATACCCTTCTTTGAACCATAGATTGAAAGCAGTGGGCGATGGTCAGTCTGCAATATAAACCTTCTTCCATGTATGTACTTATGGAATTTTTTACAAGCATAGATGATAGCTAAGCTTTCTTTCTCAATTTGAGAGTACTTCTTTTTCGTGTAATAATGTCCTTGATGCATGTGCCACTGGCTTCGTATTGTCGTCTCTGAATTTATGCAGAATTACCACACCTATTCCGTGCTCGCTTGCGTCCGATGCCACTATAATTTCCTGTTTAGGGTCATAATGTGTTAGTGATAATTCCGACGTCAAAATATTCTTTATTTTGTTAAACGCCTTCTGACACACTTCTGACCATTCCCACTTTGCTCCCTTTTTAAGCAATTTATTTAATGGAGCCGTAAGGCTGCACAAATTAGGAATATATATCCCATAATAGTTAGCAAGTCCTAAGAACGCTTGTAGCGTTACTACATTTTTGGGAGTTGGCATGCTTTTGATTGCTTCTGCCCTTGCCGGATCTGGTCTTCTTCCATCAGAATCTATTACCTGCCCCCAAAACTTAATTTCACTCATAAAAAATTCACATTTTTCAGCTCCAAGTTTGAATCCATATTCTTCAATTTTTTCAAAAACCTGATTAATATGTTCCAAATGTTCATTTCGATCTTTACTTTTTATCAAAATATCATCAAGATATGCAATGGCAAAGTCCAACCCTGCCAGCACAGTGTCCATAATTTGCTGAAAAATACTAGGGGATACTTTTAAACCAAAAGGCAGACGGTTTAATTTGTATAAACCCTTGTGTGTATTGATAGTCAACAATTTAGAACATTCTTTGTCCACTTTCACTTGGAGAAAGGCATCCGATAAATCCAATTTAGAGAATATTTTTCCTCACTTAAACTTGCAAAAATGTCTTCTGGTGAAGGCAAAGGATATGTGTGGTCTTTTAAGCAATCATTTAGACCCGTAGAGAAATCGGCACACATCCGAATTTTATTATTCTTTTTCTTAACATATACAACAGGGCAGGCCCATTCTGAAAATTCAATGCGGGAAATAACTCCTAAATTTTCAAGCCATTCCAATTCTTTGTTAATCTGTTTCAAAACACCAAATGGCACATTTCTTTTTCGCTTGAAAATAGGTTTTACATTTTCCTTCACTTCAAATTTTGCCTTCGTCTTTTTGCAACATCCAAGACCTTCTGAAAATACTTGTGGAAATTTTATTTTCAGATCTTTCACCAAATTTTCTGTAACCCGATTTTTACATGGAGAAGAAACATTAATTCTATTGGAGAAAAAAAAAAAAAGAATTTATAGGGAGTTCCCATAAATTAAAAAGTATAATCCAATCCGTTCAAAAAAATTTGAAGCATTTTGTAGCACATACACTTTAGACTTTAGTGTCTTACCAACAAACGAAATATTACAAGAAAATTCACTTTGAAAATGCAATTTTCTTCCAGAAATCCCGCGAGCCACTTTTTCAGTCTTTTTAAGCAAAGGTCTGCCTATTTTAATCCATGTTGCTGTATTAATAATGGAAATATCACTTCCAGTATCTAGCTGTAGTTTAACATTTTTTCCATTAATTTTTACCTGTACGAATTTTTTTTTCTGCCCCTCCTCAATCTCCTGACGTGACAACACAATATTCACATTATCTTTTTTTGACTTAAATTTTTTTCTTTTGCTTTTACAATGAGTACTTATATGGCCTTTATTGCCACACGAATAGCAATTTTTGTTGCGAAAAAAACATTCACTTTTAAAATAACCATCACTGCATCCAAAGCACGTTGGTTTTTAACGTTTTTATTAACTATTCCCGTTTTTGGTCGAATAGCATGGACATGGGATACGTCTTTTTCTTCAATTTGCGTATTGTCATGTTTTAAGTTTTCAATTCTTTGACACTCTTCCGTAACCTTCTGCAAAGTGATCTCGGAATTTTGTTCAAGTTTTGCCAATATTCGGGACCTTATGTCCTTATCTTTGCTAGATGTCAAGCCTTGAACGAATATCAAACATTTAAATTGATCAATTGAAAGATCATGTAACATAAAATGTTCACACATTCTGTTAACAATTCCAGCATACGTAACAACATCCTCATTGTCACGCTTTACCATATTCAAACACGAGAAACGAGTATGAAACAAACTAACTCGCTCGCCAAAAATACTAGATAAAGTATTAACAGTTTCTTCAAAAGAAATTTCACCAGTTTTTCTTGGAAGGACAAAATTCGTATACTTATTATTTTCATCTGTACCCAACTTTTGTAAAAGTAAACTCACTTTTTGTTCATCAGTCCAACCTTCACTTTTTTTTTCAAATATTGTTTCAAATCTTCTGAAATATGCAGGAAATGTTATGCCCTCCTCTGGGTTAAATTTGAACTCAGTAATAGAATTAGCAATACCTTCGGCCGTGAATGACGAATTTACTGAATTCTTAAGTAAAATCGCTTCATATAAAGCTTTTGTGTCATTTCGCTGCTGAACTTGTAAATCCAATAGTTGTTCCTGAAACAATTTTTGTTGCTCTTGTTGCTGAATTTGACTTTGCACTAGAGTTTTTTGTTGCTCTTGTTGCTGAATTTGACTTTGCACTAGAGTTTTTGTTAATGCAATCAAATCTTCCATTATGCGTAATAGATTACACAAAACACTTTTGAAAACAGACAAAAAGGGAAAAACACGTATATATCCACAATAAGCACAAGTCTTACTTCTTTTTGGCACGTTGAAATCCCATTTCTTCGTGAAGAACAAAGTTTGATGTATTTTTTTTTTTTTTTTTTTTTTTTCAGAGCGAGGAAAAAAAAAATTTATATAGTCCACCTAGAGTTGAAAAATTCTCCACTCAGTGTGATGAATGAATCTCTTCGCCACTGTTATGATGTTGATTTGGGGTTAGTAGAGACAAATGCCAAATAACACGTAGCAATAAAAGGGTTTTAATAGGTTGGTAAAAAGGTACAGAAATTGCCTGAGTAGTCAATAACTAGCTCAGCTAAGAACTTCTCTGTCCATCTGTCTTCCTGACATGCCACTATTTAAAGTCTTTGTTCGCAGACAAATTCATCTTCAAGAGGGGTGGTAGGTTTCCGACACAACAGTATGTTTTCTTGTCAGACCAGTTTTTGTACTAACAATGATTCAACAAATTTGATGGTGACAAGGGGTAGAATGGCTAAATGTACTCTATAACCACTGTTTGGGACATTATTAATGATATGATAAATGCTAATCATTCGAATTTCTATTTGTGTTTGGAAGGTTGTGTTTGAATACTGATAAAATGCTTTAAAGTCTTATTTGTTTTACCATATTATCTCCTGTGTTATGGGAACCAATTTATTAAGTTTTTGATAAGTTGGGAATATAATTTGACCATATGTATACACATATATATCAGTATGATGAATGTAACTATGATCCATTTAGGATATTTTGGCAAAAAAATATTGCTATGTTCTCAGCAGTGGAGTCAATCCACTTATATTTCCAATTGTAAAGATCTCTGTAGTAAAGTTTAACTCCTACATGAATGCATTTTAAACATACATATTACTTGTCATTTATCCTGCTTTTAACACCTGCCAATGATTTTTCCATTGCTGTGTGTAGGCCAAAAATCAAAAACAAGGATTTCCCCAAAGGCTAAATAGCATCACTGTTAAGTAGTTATTAGTAATAGTTGTATGTAGAAGACAAAATGAAGACAAGGCATAATTTTAAAAAGTGGAACACCAATTAACATTGTTTGACATTTATCAGTTAAAGCAACAAAAGCGCTGATTAATGACCTTTAGCACTGGACGTGTTGAGAAAGACTGAATTAAAATATTTGGCTTATGTATATTTAATAAGTGAACATGGCTTGTTTACAATTGTTATGTCTGTTGAAACTCTCTTACAGTCATCAACAAAGAAGAGCAAAAAGAAGAAAAGTCAAATAAGCAGAAATCTCAAACAATACAATCAACTTCAAAACGCCATTAAAGAAGCCAATGCTTTGGTTGATGTTACAAATAGCAGGAGAATGGAATGTTGTGTTTTTGAAAATGCAGATGGTAAAGCATTATTGGCCAAGTCTCAAAGGAAATTCACAGAATATATGGAATTTCCAATAAACAAATCAACAAACAAAACCTGCAATAAAAATGGTAATGATCAGTTTATGTATTATCAGTACAATTCTTTTTCTATATACAGTAATATTAGTTTCTATAAAGATGATGTACATAAGTATATGAATAAATATGTAATTTAATGAAAAAGCATTTATTTTACCCAAGAAATATTTTGTTTTCATTAAAATCTGCTTTCTTGTTAATGTATTTTGTACAATGGTTAATATTAATTGCATATATATATATATATATATATATATATATATATGGTGACAATTTCAGTTTGAAATATGGCTAATAAATACATATCAGGTAATAATTATTGATTCACACTTGGAAACACTTTGATTCACAACAAGTCATTTTATATAGCTCTATTTAGTTAATTTATGACAAATTTGTTTTTAATGAATATTGGATTGAACCTTACATCAGAAAATAATAACAAGTATCAATATCAGTCATGATGGTGGTATACTGGTCGAAATCAAAATATTATTGTTTAAGTTTCTTTAAATCTGGTCTTTAGTAGCAATAATAAGTCATTTCCCATACAAAGCAACAAAGTATTCTTTTTTTTATTAAAATTGGTAGTCATGTCCCAAAAAAAAAACCTAAAACAAAATAAATAATGTAACTGATAAATGCCAACAAGTTTACTGAGGTTTTACTCTCCTCTTTGCATCTCCTAATTATATTTTGATAAATTTATATAGGGAAATACTATACTGTCTTTCCAAAACTTTCTGTGAATCCTTTAGAGAAAATGTCACAATTATAAGAAATGTCTATTTAATTCTTCTAGATTTTTAAATAATATTTTTTAGGGCAAATACATCTTTAATTTGTCCTCACTCTTCTGAGTACAGTTCATCCTATTGGATTAAATGACACTTTCACTGATTTTGAAAGACTAAACTAATTAAACCAATTTCATTAAATATTTATGACTAACAACAGACTCACTAAAAAAAAGTCTACAAGCCTATTCTGTGGTATTTGACTCATCATTACACAAGGATCAGGTTTTATTGTAATGTATAAAATGCAAGAAAAATTGTTCAAGTTTCTTTCAAATATTCAGAATAATTATTAGATTATGCTTTTTATCATGTAGAAAGGCTTGAAATGTCAAAGATTTTTCATTAAAACATTTTATTAAAAAAAACAAAAACTAAAAAGTTTTTTTTAAAAAGCAGCTGTAATTAAAGACATTTTAATTTAAAAGAATGAATTGAGTATACAGCATTATCAGCTAAAAGAAGCTGACACTGCCTTTCATTTGTAGTAAGTCAAAAAGGAACGTACGTAAAGTTACTATATTTTTTTACATTTATTTTGACCTGGATATATTATAAAGCTAGGAAATAAAATTTTAAAAATTACTTTGTTGATGATTTTATTGGTTTTGTTTGTACATTAAAATACACAAAGGTATATATATTATATATGATATTGAGTACTTTTTCGGTATGCCTGTAAACTATCTGGTGTTTGGATTTTTTTCTTTCCAAATAATGGTGATTTTATGGCATTTTAATCTTGGTCAGATGGGTATTTCATCACTCAGTGTGTTTGGTTGGTGTGTGCATGGTATGTACACATCAACTACCCTCATAACATCTTGAACTTGTGAAAGGAGTATAAAATAACCATTTTCACAAATAACTGTTGCCAACCACCTGATGATTGCACAAGAACACGAAATGTTTAGTTGTGGTCAGCCATTGTTCACCAGGAATTTATTTAGAAATATTAAGGCTCTGCCAATTAATACAGAATTGAGCTCTCCTTCTCTTTAGGAGTTGCTTATATATGTGTGTGTGTGTGTGTGTGTGTGTGTGTGTGTGTGTGTGTAAATATATAGAAAATAGGAAAGAACACGTTAGGTAAATAATCCAAAGTTCTTTAGTATTTTTGTTATTTTTAAAAAAACAGTGCTCGATACAAAAGTAGAGCCTAAATATAATTGTTTATTTAAAATGTTTTGAAACATGAGAACTCTTATGTAGTGATGAAATCGTATTTTTAATAAATATTTTAATAAATAAATAATTATATATATATATATATATATATATATATATATATATATATATAGGCATAATTTTCTCAGTTATAAATAGCTTAAGATTGATATGTGGGTAATAATGTTTAGAAAAGCATTAGACAAAATCTTTTTGCAACTTTTTTGACAGATGCATATTTAACACTACTTTTACATCACTAAAAGTGTTCTATTAAAGTGTTGGATTAATAAGCATTTGATATGAATTTGAAATATACACTGTTTTTGTTCATAAATAAATTCTTTCCAAACAAGTTAATATTTGAAGACTAATACTTTTAATATTTCAGATTCCACTATTGTCCAAATTTGCAGTAAGCCAAATAGATGTTGCATACAGCAAAACAGCCCCAGCAAAACACAAAATTCTAATGAACAGACAGAGCCATTTCTGATGTCATGTTATAACAATACAGAATCCAATAATTCTTTGCTGACTCTCACACCTCAGCAAAGATTAAGTTTTGACATTGAGGTAAAAACATTAATACTTTACTATTATCATTCCAAGAGCTGAACACTTTTTAATTATGTAAGTGAACATAGTGAAATCTTGATAGAAATTCAAAAGTATCACAGATCTTGAATATTTTATGTTTTTTTAAAGGAAAATATACCTTTTTAAATTGAACTCTTTACAACCATTTAATTAATGTATACTGATGCATTTTCTTCTCATTGTATCTTTGTACCATAATCACAGTACCTTTTCCGATAGTTAATTTTAATCATATGCGAGGAGCACTGAATTATAATAACTCTGCAACAGTATGATTCTTTCAAATATGCTGATCTATATAGGAATAGGCACTGTAAAGGAACAATGATATATATGCAGTAATCTTAAAATAAATTCATCATTGATGACCTATGTACAATCAATCAAAAATGCACAAGTGATTAAAATTCATTAGTTATATGTATAAATGCAGTGTTGCAAAAAATAAAAGCAACAAATGTGTACAAGACCAGATGAATTATATTGGCTTATGTGGTTTTAGGTTTAAATCATACATTTTTACATATTTTGTGCATGTGTAGCCAAGTTGTTGATAAATAATTCTCTTTCTTCTGTTTATTGCATTGTAAAATCTGAGAGTAATTAGAGTACCAGGTCAAACAAATTTACACACACACACACACACATATATATATATATATATATATATATATATATATATATATATATATATATATATATATATACATACAGTATTAACTGCATAGAAACTAATCATCTATAGTTATATGAGCTATTAGATTGCACCTGTATACTAATATAAAGCTTAGTTTGGATAAGCTAGTAGTATGGATAATTTCTTTTAGCAAAAAAAAAAAAAGAAAGAAGTAAAACCTAGAGAAAGAAATCCCCAGCAGTAAAGCTATTATTATATGAAGTCAAACCAAAGTTTGAAAATCTAGTGTCTATTATATTATAAATTTGTGGATTTCTTTCTATCTCTGTTCTTGTTGAATACTTAAAAGCTTGAATTGTCACAGAACTTTAAGAAAAATGTTTTCCTTTCTTTACAGGTTTATAAAAAAAGTGAAGTTGCATTTACAGTTGATCTGAAACAATTTTTGGCGAGAAATAACTTACATCTGGAAAACACATATTGGGAGAATGTTCCAGTTAACACTTATCAATTGTTCCAGGTTGTTAATGAATTTGGTGGCTATGAAATGGTAAAGTGATATATTTCTTTGATATTTATATTATATCTATGAGGGTAAATCAAAAAATGTAAATGTTACTGTGTAAAAGTAAATTCATATAGCTAAGATGCATTGTATTTTTTACATTGATTATAAATTTATTTTACTTGCTCAATCCAATTTTTATTGTCAATATATAATAATGTTTTCCATTTTGCAAGTGTGTTATTAGTTAAAAACATTGTAATAAAATATTGGTATTAGTAGGCTAAACTTTTTCAGGTTACTTTAAAAATGCAAACTTGAATGTATAAACATGCATCGTATTTAAAATTTAGTGAGAAATAAATACATCCAATGTATAAAGCTCAAAGTTTGTTTGTGTGCATGTGTTTACATGCTGAAATCTCTGAATAGTAATTAAATTGTTTAGTTAAATAAAGCCGTTCCCTGCCAACTTGGAAATAAAGAGATGCAGTTTTTAATAGTATATTTTGAAAAATCTAACAAATCTAAATTTTGTTTGTGAAATATTTATATTAGGTTTTGTTCAAAAAAAAATAAATCACTCGATTTGTATTGTTTAATAATGGATTCATGTGTTTATCCTTATTGATTTTATTTAAAGAAAAAGACAAACATTTTATTACTAAAAAATAAAATGCTTTTTGTACATAAAAAAAGATTTGAAAGGAAAAATTGAATTTTCTATGCTTTATTTAAAGTTTTAATTTTTTTTCAGATGCTAAATAAAATAATCTATAAAGTGCAAACCTCTGTGTGTGTGTGTGTGTGAGAGAGAGAGATAGAGAGATGGCTCAGAACCTTGAAAATTAATAAAATAGGTGAGAGCAAATAAATATTTGGATAGCACTGAAAGTCAAACCTGTGTTTGCAAAGACCTAACCTTACTACCTTAGACCACTTAGCTATATTGGTGAATATTTTGGGATATTTTGTTTGCTTTTATATTTGAAGGAAGTGGTTGTAAGAACAGAAATTTTGGAGGTGAGAGAATAATAGTAAATAAGCACTTATATCAAACATTAGTTGTATGGATATAATAATTAAATTTATTATAGATATATTTAAACAAAAGCATAGTTCTTAATTTTCTTATTTATTGGATTATGGTGTTCACAATGACACTATGATCCCAATTATGGTTGGCCTTCTTCTTGTTGTTGCTATTGCTGATATTTACTTTTTATTCAAACTTTGTATTATTACAACTACTATGATAATTTCTTGCAAATTTCCTTGCATGTAGAATTTGTTATAATACATTAATAGGAGTAGAGAGGGTCACCTATCAACTTGTTCACTCTCCTCAATGGGCTTTTGAACAGGAGTAGAGGTTTATCCCTGGTTTCCTGTTTAGGATTGGGTTTCTGGTTCCTTTTAAATTCTATTTCAACTCTGTAATTCTAATGTCTACACTTAAACTCTGAATTTTATACTATTATTGGATTTCTGATTCCTTATAAAATATTTTCCTTCTCTTTCACTTCCTTGCATCTTAGTGACATTACCACTTTGCTTGGGATGAATTGATTAAAAAAAAATAAATCTGGTTATTTTTACTAATGTGCAGTCTATAGCCATCTGAAAATTCTTGATAAAAAATTATTTCTTACTACTACTGCTATTTTAATCTTGCACTCTTGATAGAATAATGACAAATATGTAAAAGAATGATTACAGGTCAGCAAAAATTAAGAATTTTTACATATTCTAACTAAAAGAAATATTTGTAATAAATGCTAAATTTCCTATCTGAATATGAGTCACTGGGTTAATAGTAAAAGTGAATCAAAACAATCTTCCAACTTCAAATTCTCACATTGATATTTTATCGCATACGTATGGGCATAGCATACTGCTAGTGGCAGAATATTGCCGGTGCCCTGGAGTGCACTGTCATGGGGTGCAAAATTGCTTGGTGATTGGCAAGTTTATTGCCAGGACTGGGGGTGAATTGCAATTGAAACGTTCCACTTCCAATATTTTTCCCCAAAATATGTATAAAAATCTCACCTAACTAACTTGACCCAATCTAACCAAACTTATTTATGTGGTGAAAAATTAAAACCAAATTAGGTTAGGGCAGGCCAAGTTTATCGGTGAAATTGTTGGGAAATAATTCAAAAAGGGGTGAAAGAAGAACTAAAATTTCCTCCTTTTTATTTACTTTAATATCCTTTTATTTACCTTAATATCCTTTTTGTGACTGCCCACAGATACTTATTTCATTAAGGCGCATCATTAATTATTTTAGTGACAGCACTCAGTAGCTCTTCAAACATGCGCAGTACGGATGGAAGTGCATGCCGGCAAAAATGTGTTAAAGAGACAACAAAAAGTGTTTAATTCTGTTTTTCCTCAGTTGTGCCATAAATTGAAAACTAATCCATATTTATGTTTTAAGATGCATTTCTGGGATGGTAAACCTGGCATTTCTTTGTAAAATGATAAAAGTAATTTTTCTCCTTACCTCAATTGGTAGATCATAGTATTTTGCTGAATATATAAAAGATTTAGACATAATGATCTTATTGTAACTCAGTGCCATATATTCCCATATACAGGGTTTTGATACAAAAAGATTTACAAGTTTTATCGCACAATTTTGGTTGTCAGTAGCAATAATAAAATCTTTGCAGGGTGTTTTTTGTAGACATTCGCTGCAATAATAATAATGTTATTATTATTATATGATTATACAATGCCAAGAAACTTATTACAGAAAATCATGCACTCCCACTGATAATATAGAGAAAAATGTTTTATTGCAACATATATATGTATTCAGCTGTTGACTTATGATAGATTCTGATATTGACCCCTTTTGTTTATTTCAGTCTTTACAGTGGTGTTATTTACAGTGTTATGGTTTTTATCATGGTGCTCCATAGTTCTGTCAATTGGTTGACAATGAACACTTGTTTGAGATAAACTAGCCTCACAATCTTTATATAATTGAGGGGTACAGCTATACTTTTATTTCAGGCAGAAATTTAAACAATGGAGCAACATGGGAAACAAAAGAAAGAATCTGGTGCGGAAGGAAGAAATCATAGGAAAAGAGAATGCAAAGATCTACAGAAAACCAGTCAAGTTATGAAGAAGTTTTTAAAAATGCCATGTCCAGATGGAGATGGTGACAATCGCATTGTTTTCCTGTTTATTCTTGATAGTGGCTCTGACTACACAGACACAGCACCAGAATCAGTGGATTGTTGCCAATCTGATGAACATGTACAATATGATGAAGCTAAATATGCATTATTAACCAAGAAAGATACAGGTTACTTAGATTTTGATGTAAATTGCAATAAACCACATGATCTACACATACAAATGGTGAAGATGGGTGCTAAGACATTTCAGAACAAAGACGGCCTTTCCAAAGTTACAAAAGATGGGGAAGTTATTGAGAGCCAACATGTTGAAGAAGCGATGAGAAGTGAAACAAGCACAAAACAAGTGGGTGAACTGCAGCTTCATAAATTACTGGTTTCAACAAAAACTACATGATGGGTTTATGATTCTATGTAATTGGCTGTTGTACTTTATTAAAAATGATGCAGTGTGTTGTTTTTAATGTTTATTGTTTTCAACAACACAAGTCCGTCAAAGCATGGTATTTGAAAAATTTTGTAAATGGAGAAAATGAAACAAAAAATATGAGAACATGAACAAGGCACTCATTACCATGTGCCATTTCTTGCATGGAAAGACTTTGAGAGACTCATATTAAGAGGGTGTATGATTGACAGAGTAATACTGAAGAATATGGAGGAACAGAAGCAATTGTGGAAGGATCTGCTCATGTGTTTTGTGGATTGTATCAAGTTTTTGACAACTCAACATCTAGCATTTCATGGATTCCGATAAGTCATTGCATCAAGTAATAATCCTAGTAATTTTCTTGCACTCGTTAAGCTACTTAGCAAGTACGACCTTCTGTTGCAGCACCACTTGGATTATGTCAAGTCGTATCCACATTCTGCAGCATTTTTGTTTGGCAAGATACAGAATGAGTTCATTGAGCTACTGGGTAACAAAGTACATCAGTCTATGCTACAAAGAGTCAAAAGAAGCAGATACTATGAAATTATATTCGACACAACTCCTAACGTTTCTCACAACAAACAAATGTCTGAAATTCTCAGGTTTATCGATGTTGACAATGAATCTAAAACTGCTGATTTTATTAAAATTTGTAAAAAAAATGCAGAGAGTGCTACAGAAGAAATTACTTCAAAATTGGAACCAGATGATCTTGATTTGAATGACTGTTGTGGACAGATGTATGACTGCTGCAATAATGGGTGGAAAGGTGTCTGGTGTCCAGAAACACATATAGAGAAAGCAATCTTTGTGAAGTGTGACAACCATTTTTTGAACCTCGTTAGTGTGCATGCAGCATAAGACATGTGTTTGCTATATCATTTTTGGAGTTCTTGATTCATTGTACAATTTATTCTCCAGCTCAATGCGGTGGGAAAAATTGAACGAGACAGTAGTGACAGCTGTAAAGCGATCCCCTAATACAAGATAGAGTGTTAGGTGTGATGCTGTTTATGTAAAAACAAAGTTGGATGATCTAACTAAATTGTTGGAGGATGTGCCAAGTCACACTTTGGTATCAGTCAACACAAGAAATGATGCCAGCTGCTTGCTGCACAATGTAAACTTTTAGCTTTCTAACAATTCAGCCATTCTGGGATAACGTCTTGACTTCCATCATCTGAGTACAGCAGAGAATTCAGTGTCCTAGAATCAACTTCAATGAAGTTTGAGCTGACATTCAAAGTCTGCAACAATCTGTTATAAGTGAATGGGATTCTCTTTGTAAAAATTCAGTTTTTTGCAAACTCTTTATCCACTGGGCCATGAGGACATCTGTGTATGAATTTCTGGGACTTATAAACCTAATGTCTCAGCATCATTTTTTAACCAGTGCCCATATTGCAATTTTTCCATTATTATTATTTATATTTTTTACCAGAGCTTATATTGCAAAAAAATATACATTTTAAAGATGTTGGATAGATCCAGTGACTAGACCCAAACAGTTGTGAGTTCAATACCAAGCTACAGCAGTGGTAAACCAAAAAAACTTGGAGAGTTGAGTTAAAGAGAAATAACTGAGATATCCGGAAGAGGCATGGCACATGGAACTAGAGCAATATACTCTGGTGGACGAAATAAAGGGTTCAGTTCAAAGTTCCAATCACCTAAAGAAGGCTGGAGCATACAATGGCCAAAACATTGTGAATATGGCAATGAAGATGAGGCTAATAGTCTGAATAATGTAAATAATGTAAAAGAGAAAGGTGTGTTGTAAAAAAAGAATGGCTGGAGAGGAAATGAAAGATGAGCTTCTAAATATGAGAGAAGCAGATGTTACCTTGAAGGTAGTACTGCACAGGTTGAATACAGAACTGAAAGATCAATTTACAAGGTTGAGTCAGTTATGAGCAATTTGAGTTCTTGGATATTGAAAGCCTTATTGACGTGAACAGAGACATGGTAGAAAAATGCAAAGTAGCTGCTACAACATATGAGGGTGATTTTTGTGGAATCCTGTGAGCACTCTTTCAGCAAACTAGAATTAATTAAAAACTATCTCTGAAGTGCAATGGGACATGAATGCCTAAGCAATTTGGCTTTATTAAGCATCAAAAATGAAGAATTTGGACATATAAATGAGGATGGTGTTATTGACAAATTTTTGACCAACAAGCCTGTTCGTATGTTGCGCCTTTATGAATTCAGATAAATGAAATGAATTGCTCTGGTGTTGACATCTTTTAATTCAGGCTTTGTCAATTCAATGCTTGTTGGTAGTGGGGGATCAAATAAAAATGTATTTGTATTGTATTTAAATACTTTTTCAGAGCATTTGTATTTGTGTGAAAAAGCATTTAAATTTAGATTTTTCATAGTTTCAGAAGTATTTGTCTTTGTTTTAGTATTTTTAGAATCTGGAATAAAATTACTTGTATTTATATTTGCATTTCCAAGTATATCGTGTCAATAATTGTGAGAAGTATTTGGATATGAATTTTTAAAAAATAGTATTTGATCCATCCAGTTTGTTGTCCACTGTGGTGGTGGAGGCACCGAGTTGAGCACTTGCACCCTCTGGTCCAAGACCTCAGCACACCACTGCATACTACATTAATATTTTTCATCCAATTAGAGTTCTAACTAACAAATTAATCTCAATAAAATTTAGCCTTTGCTTCAAGCATCAAATAGTCAAAATAATTTAAATGTATCATTAAATTGATTACTTGCATTTAGAATATTTTACAGCTTTAAATATGATTAAAATTTATTATTTAAGTAATACTTCTTAAAGAGGTTTTTATCAAAAGTTTCATGTTTATTGTGTCTGCTTTCAATCAATTTCTGCTGGTTTACTGTTGAAAGAAAAATAGAAATAAAACAAGCTAATTTGTGCTACTTCACATAATACATGACCATATACAAAGTATATACTGGTTACATGCATCCTATGTATCTCATTGTGAATGAAGCTTTCACACTTGCTTAAGTGTTGTACTTTCAAGAACTTATAAAAGTAAACTTTAATCACTACTTTAAAGTATATCCAAAGTAAATTTATTTTTTTAATTTTTTGATAAAACAGTTTTTATGTACTTTTGGTTTTTGCATAAAGAAATATATTTATATATGAATTGATTTTTTTCAAAACATTTCCATTAACAAAACCATTTATATAACAATTGATAAACAAATACTTGTACAATACACTTATTGCCATATTAAAATACCTGTCATTGTATCATCAAATGTAACAAAATAGTTTTAACATTAAAAGAAAGTAATCAGCTGTAGCTGTTTTTGCATTATTGGGGTAATCTTTGCTGACATAGACATTTTATGAAACTACGAGTCTAAAGAAAAATACAATAATGAATCTGAAGAAGAGTGATTTGATTTAGTTTGGTTTGTTTTACGGCATATCAACCCCAATGGCTTATTTAATGCCAACAAAATTTTTATTGCTGGTAATATTTTAAAAAAAAATGTATTGTTGGTAATATTTTTTTACAAAAATGTATTGTTGATATTAAAACCTATTTTTACATTTTCATAGTATTTTGACCTTAGTTTGGGGGTTAACTATTTGCCCATATCTGGTACCCTAACAGATGCTACCACCCCGGGTCAAGGTGGACCTAGGAACACCAGCAATTAAGAGGTGGTTCCGTGCTCCTCAAAACCTCCTGAGTCTTTGCTGTTTGATGTAGCTTATCATTTTACCCAGGTCGCAAAGAAGAGTGAGAGACAAAGCTAAATAGAGACAGAGCTAGAAAAGCAGCTGTCAAGACATCTAAAAACACCCAACAAATAGAACAATGTCTAGCAGTTAACAAAGCAGATAGCAGTAATCAGAATTTCAATGATACCAGGGCAGTATCAAGTTCATCAAAATGCCAATCAAACTCAGAGTGCATCAAATAGGATTTCAGAAAATATCAAGCAAGAAACTTATTTGAACAAATGAGAAATGCAACTGCAATACATGAATTGTGAAATACAAAATTTGATGCAGCATCCTACTATGGTCCAGTAATAAATTATAAAGATAACACTATAGTAGTTTATGACCACTGTCAAGGTCTGAATTTGAAGCAGCAGGCACTAAGTATGCACTGCAGAAATGGCAAAGTCAAACTACATCTAATTTCAGAACCTTTGGAGAATTTGATGTTTGGAGTGACTCCAGAATAAAGGCACTATTACGTAATAGAATTGCTTTCAAATGAAATCTGCAATTACAAAAAAGAAATGCATAAGGATAACTTCACACCTACTTACAAGAATAACTTAACCCTCTATATGTGGTTCACTCTTGCCAACTGACAAAGGACTTAAATTCCAGCAATTTGCTTTTTGGAAGCAAATCAATATTGCTAAAACATACCTGATATTAGACCACACTTAGTCTTGATACTGCAGGAATTTCTCCACAACCAAAACCCTTATCTGAAGGTTTTCAAAATATCAATAGAGTAATTGACATGAAGAAATTTGAAAATGATTATTAGAGCTGTCAAGAGACCAGCTGGTGAATATAAGCAAAGATTTAATGCTCCAACATCAACTGATCCAGGAAGTGTTATATGAAGCCAGCACTTTTTTTAAAGTTATTTTTTTTCACAAAAGATATTCTTGTTTTCAGAGGGAATCTGATACACACAAGTCAATATAGCACACTGGCGAATAAGAACTTTTCAGTAGTTCATTGTATCTTTTTAGAATAAAAAATAAATGTACGTGAATGGATACTACACTCTGATCTTAGAAGTGCTGAGGATGCTAATATATAGATATGTAAAAAATTTGAACATTAAAGAACACTTATAGTAAATATGTAAATATGCTATTTCATTTCTTTTCTAAGAAAATTATTCTTATAAAACTTTTCACAGATAAATAGTAAAAAAATAAAATGCAAACATATTCAAGGTGAATTTATATAACAGACTAGTAGTGGTAATCAGATATAATTCTGATTTAGAAACCTATTGAACTACAAAAGTAATAGTATAAAGATGGGGATAAATATATTCAATGTTTGAAACTTGTAAACAAAGCTGAAGTGAAAAAATATATAGTTTCTTTTTGTGAATTTATTTAAGAATATCTTATCAATGTATATTTACAATTAAAAACTAATTTGATTTATTAGTAAGTTATGAGCAAAAGATAAACTGAAGGCATTTTATGATTTGTAAGAATACTTAAAAAATTAAACACTCCCATTTTGCTTAAAATATGGCTACTGAATTATTTATTTCTGGAATACAGGTTTCCAAACCTTACATGATTGTTGTCAGAATGGACACCTAATTGTAAAATGATTAAGTACTCATTAATTAATTAATTAATTACTTAATCATGATTAAGTATTCACAAATATATAACCACATATGCAAATACATAACTGGCAAGTAATCATATCAATTCATAATACAATGTCAAACATAATCTAAAAAACAAATTTCCTTAGTTATTATTTTTTGAATGATTTTGAATAAATTTCACCTTTACCACTTTCATATTCAATAAAATGTTAATTTTTTGTAGGTTACTCAAAAGGCAAAATGGTCAAATATTTACCGAGAAATTACCAATACATACGAGAAATACAAAGGCAAGCTTGTACGGAAGTTCTACTACAGGTATATTTAAAAATGGGATTAAAAGTATTTTTATGTGTGTGCATTTCACTATTTCTAGTGTGGATTTTACAAATAAGTAAAATCTACAGCTGGTGTAAAAGGCCTGGATGGTCAATCTAAATAATTTGGATCTTACAATTTATTGTTTTTTTACAACTTATCAACCCTTTGCATATTATTGAAAACCAGAATTTATTTTTAGATTGTAATAATGATTTACTGATACAAGTCCTACTAATTGATCCATAGCTGGAAGGAGAAGAGGTGGATTCATACCTTCTCCAAGGGTATTTGTGCATAAGTGAATATAATGAACCTAACTGGAATTGGAACTTGGTTCTCTGGTTTCCAATTCTGAGCCATTATCCATTGCACCAACTGCACCGCCAAGCTTACAGTACCTGGTATTCCCAAGTGGTCACCTATCTAGTTACTGACCAGGCTTGGCATGCTTAACTATGGTGATCATATGAGAACCGGTGTTTCAATGTGATATAGGCATAAGCCCTTGGATTCTACAAGTAGATCTGAAATAACTGAATATTATATAACATGAAATTTATACAAATAAACACCTTTCTTTTAAATTAATTTTGTAAAATAAATGTGGAAAAATTGAATTTTGGGAAGAAAACCCAGAATTGAAACATAAAACTCAGTTATATTTACATAAGGCCTGGGATTTTTTTTTGCTAAGGGAAGTTAAAAGATAATGCTTGATGGACTTGTCTGTTCTGTTGAATATGGATAGAGGGGTTGAACTCTTAGTATCTCATACCGCACAATACCAACCTTGCACATCCATTTCATACCACCTAACTCTCTGCATGAAAGGCATATACTACATATACATTATGCTAAACCAGCTATTTTAGATTTTCGCACTAGCAAAATGAGATTGATTTGTAAAATAATTTTGTTAATGGTTGCATCTATCTGCATTTGAATTATGTTTTGGAACTTTTTCAACTGTATGGTATGACAAAAGGGAGGATTCTGAAAGCAAAAGCAATCTTGAATTTAGCCAGTTTATTCAGAAATGTTTTCATATAAGAAATAATGAAATTGTGAATGATGCTCAGAGTGCTATTTCAGTATCATCTGTGCACACCAGCAATCTCAGTAAATTCAATGTTAGTAATAATGAGTGATACTTTGCAAGTAATATTGACATTAATGTTATATCAATTCATTCCTAGAATTTTATTTACTGAAATTTTCTAAAAATTTCTGTTGACAAATGTGAACGTTATTCTTTTATGAAAGGCTTACATTTTTATTAAATTTCCTCAAATCCTCATGGAATTATAAAAGAAATGCCTTATGGGATGCTAAGAGTTAATGTGTTTTGTTTTAATGTGTTTACTGAACTCTCTGATCTGAAGAAAAAATAGGTTGAGTTTAGAAAGTATATTTGAACTTAGGAAGAAATCTAGTAAACATGTACAAATATTATTATGGACATATTATTTAATATAGAAATTGTTTACATTCAAAAATTATAATTTTTACCAGAAACTTTAATTGGTTAATGTAACAGGTGTGGTCCCACTCTGATGCTGATAGTGAGTGGGGACCTGGGCAAATGAAATGACAGAGTAACAATGCTAGCAGATTGACCAAACCAAATTTGGAAAGAACATGAGAAGTGATTGACTAGGACATGGATCAGTAATCAGTTATTCTAAATCCCAATTCTCCCAAGAAATCTTAAATGTAAGCCATTTGATTTTTTTCCCTGAGAGAAGCAGATGATGGAAATCAGGAAATGAATCACCAACCTCTTTCCTGAAGTAACCATGCAAGACAAACTTACGAAGTTTTGCTAACAATACAGTCACAATGAGGAAGATTAATGACCAACTTCAGTAGCAGGGCTGACATAGTTTCATGTTTGTCCTAAGTCAGCTAATGATCCAACAAGATAGTGAAAGTTGATCATATGAGAACTGACCAAACACTCATAGGAAATCCACAACACCACCAAATATCAAAATTTGCAACCCTAACTGGATAAATGCATTGTTTTTGTTATTATAAAGTTATTTTTGTCTATTTTGCAAACCACTTTCTTTTTCTTATGATCCAATTTATTTGGCTTGAAATACAGTTAAACCAACTTTACTCAAAGACCTTAGATTTAAAATAAAAGATGTGTGTGGAGGCTAATTGGAAAGCACAAGCAGTGGAATGGTATGAGTATGTCTGTAGGATTTATTAACTAGAAATAATTTTAGTTTTAGAATTTGATTTTTCTCTTTTTAAATATAACTCAAATTATACTTGTATAGAAATCAAATGCAGGTCAAATAATCTAATTGAATGTTTATTATCTGCAAATGTCTGCAATAAAAAAAAATCTGAGAATAGATTTTCTTCAAGTACAATACATCAGCACAATGCAACATTAATTTATTTATACCTTTCTATATGTTTATGTGTTCTATCATTTTGCAGGAATCTCTATGCCTATACTTTATACATTTTTGGAAAAGACTATGAACATATTATTCAAGATATTCTCAAACAGGAAAAGAAAGACAAATCCTTTATCTTAGAAAAGATTCAGAAAAAGCCAAAAATTGTCCAACATAAACCTGATGGTAAGTAGTAAAGTTTTTAAAATAAGTTTTCATTAGTTTCTACTTTTTATATAGATCATAATCTTCATAAGTGGAAGAAATAAATTTAATGAAGAACTGAATTTCAATATTATTATGGATATGTGCATGTGATAAGAAAACTATCAAAATCAAAAATGGAATTATCTCCCTTAAACCTTATGATTTCATAATGTTTGCATTTACATATTTGTAATTTGCAAATATAAAGAAGTAACCAACAACAGGACTAAAATCCACATTCAGTGGGTTCTTGAGTGTGTTTCTTGTATGTAGCCTTGAAAGATTTTTCTCTTCTATGGTAAGCAAATAAAATATTCTTTCTACTGCAGCTGAAGAATGAAACAATGAGAGATTTCTGAATGAGAATTTAAAAAATGAACACACACACACACACATATATTATTATTATTATTATTACTGTGATTTATTTTTTTATTTATTTATCCACTCATTGCTTAGGAGTGATGCTTTTTAATTGACAAATTAAGGTGAAAACAAATGAATTGATATTGAAATTTTCTATTATGTTTTTAGATGATATATTTTGCTCTTTGTACCAAAAGTTTGAAGAACTGGAAAATGCAAACAGAATGTGTTATTTTGAGGAAGGTATTTTTCAATCAAATTTACTGTTGTTCATATTTTTATGAAATGTTTTGTTTGGTTTTCACACAATTTCTTAAATAATTGTTTATATTCCTAAAAAATTTAAATTTGATGCTGTAATCTTTGAAATTAATCAGTGGAGTATGTGACTCTTTGGACACAGATATTTACTTTATACAGAGATATGTCCAGCTTACTTTATACCTTTACCTATCAGTTTTCTGATAAAATCTATCGTATTCATTAGAAGGAATCAGAATTTCAAATTGTAGATTTTTTACCTAGTTATTTTATTAATTAAAAGAAATGTCTTGAAGCAATTCATAAAACAAACATTTCTAACACTGTTTTATCCTACTTTGATTATTGTCATTTGCTTCTTTCTTTGTACCCCTGATTATTTTCTATTATGCTTCATATTTAAAGAAACAAATAAATGCCAGGTTAGTCCAATGTGATATAAACCAATTGTAAATTACGATATTAACATTATTTAATGCTTTAAACACTAGCTTATTTCCCTGTTTTTGTTAGGTTAACTTCTTCATGATATGATTATTTTTCCATGTTAGTTTATAATGAAAAGAATGAACTATCCCAAAATAAATTTATATCTAATGTTGGGCTTTTCTAGGAATACAAAGAATTTTTATTATTCTGAGGGGAAAATTAAAGTAAAATTAGAATGTTCAACTTTCCTTAGATGACATTTACTCCCTATTCAACAAATTCTTGTCTTATCCTTTTTTACCCTAGAGAACCATTTTGACATTAAAGCTTTTTCTCTTCTAAAAAATGGCTTGCAGATTACCTTACCAAGGTCTCTGTAACTAAAAGGAAATAAAGATTAATCATACTATAACATAATCTATAAACAGCTTTTAACAACTTCAGTTATATAATTACTGATAAAATATTTTAGACATATTCACTAAATTTATTGATAAAATATTTTTGTTTCTTTGGCATTCAGAGATCAAGTCAGCCCAGAAAGAACTTGGAATATGCATTCGATTCCATGATGAACCAGCTCCTGTTTGCCCGTTACTTGAATATAAATTTCCTTTGATAGATTCAGCATTTTCAGATGATAGCCAGGCCCAGATAGCTGAAGGTATTTGTCCATTAAATGTTCATCAGATTTATGAAAGAATTTTTCTTAAAATACATTTTTTTTTAAAATTCACTCTTAATTATGCTAATTTGTACATTTAATGTTTTTTTTAGTTTTTACTACAACCTATTTTTTATTTATACTGTATCCATATATTCTATTTTTCATATATACTGTATTCATGTAATCTCTATACATAATATAATTTCCTTTACTATTTTGTTGTGATCTCATTAGCACCAGCTATATATATATATATATATATATATATATATATATATATATATATATATATATATATATACCAACACCCACACTGAATCAGTGTGTGATATTGATTATGATAATATACTACTATATGCAAATATTCTCAGATGGAGTGTATCTGTAGAAGAGACAAAATGAATAAAAAGAGACAAGAAGAAAAACTATACTTAGCCAACATGTTTTGTCCTCTGAGGGACTTTATCAAAGCAATGATAAAGTCCCTCAGAGGATGAAACATGTCAGCTAACTATAGTTTTTCCTCTTGTCTCTTTTTATTCATAATATACTATGTATAATAAAAGAAACTGAAAAAGATAGTATTTTTGGAACTAACTTTTTAAATGAAATTTTTTTTAAACAGAAAATTTCCTCTTCATTTTCATATGTTCTGCTTTGTTTTTATGATTTCTCTTTTTTTGTTGTTATTGACTGATATATTTTACCACTTTTTAAAGATTTTTGTTTTGCCAACACTAAGGCTTTTACATTTTATGATGATTCTTCAGAGTACTCTTCAGAGTATTCCCTGTGTATCAGAGTTCATTTGTTGCAATAGTGGTAATTGTACTTCACAGGCTAAAAATACAGTTCTAACAAAATTCATCTATAAACAACAGATCATTGAGCTGAAAGCAGGAATTCAGAGCCCAGTTTTTAAGAATTTCAAACTGTTTATCATTTAAGACTGAGTTTGAGAAAATATGCTTACAATGTCTTATAGCTACAAGAAAAAGAAATAGAATCTATCTATGAACAAAATGTTTACTTTTGCTGAAACTACATATAATTTCATATGAACTTTGCACAATAAAAGTATTCTGCTGAATGCCAAAACAATAAAATAAATATTTTCATACATTGTGCTTACAAAAGTTTACAAAAATTATGAAAATTTTTCTTTTGTAGGTGTTAATATTTTTATAACATCAGCACCCAAAATAAGTTTTAAAATTCTTAGTCTTAGTTAAGTAATTAATTCAGCAACAAATAGTTATGTTTTTTCTATTTTTTTTTCTATTCAAATTTTTCCTTCCTGTAAAAAGGTTTCCAAGTTCCTGATATTTTTGCCTTTGAGAGCCATTTGGATAAGTATTGGACACCTAACAGCAGCAATCACAGTAAAACAGACCCTGATAATGCAAGTATAAATTTGGAAGATTTGCATGACCTTAGGGATCAGATAGAATTAATAAGTTATGAGATCAATCAGTGACCCCTTATGAAAATTACATTGAGGCATTTCTAATTTTATTTCCTAATGCAAAAAAAAATAAAAATAAAATAAAAATGGATATGGTGTTTCAATAAAATCTTCTTAACTTCCATTCTTTTAATTTTTATTCTACTTTTAATATTTTCCACTTGTTTTATCATTCAACAAATTCTTTTAAAAATATACAATTAAAATATCAAATTTCATTGTTATATCTATTTTTTATTTAAAAACAGAATTTTTCCCCCATAACTTGATTTCCATACTAGATATAAAACAAATCTATAAAAAAAACTAAAACCCATGTTGAAGAAAGAAACTTCAGTTTTGTCCTTATAAACTCCTTATTAGTGTTAGGATTATTGATGGAACTCGAAGTAAAGTAACTCTAATAAGGCCATTTATAGAGTATCCTCCCTTGGCTCATTCGTTTTGGATTTTCAAAATAAACCTAATTTTATATTTTTTTAACGGTAAAAACAGTAAAAGAAATTATGAATGGTTTCAGTTAGGATTTGTCAATTATTTTATTTTTCACGAACATAAATATTTTGCATATGTTATATAGATAGTACTAGTAACTTTCTTGTCAAAAAGACACTTGCAAAATACTTTTTTAGTTAATCATATATAAACAAAAAGCAATATTTTTTGTCCAATGTAGTTAATTGTTAAGTTTATCAGTGACTGTCAGGTATATGAATAATCATAAAGAGATTAAGTAATAACCATTTTATGTCTAGTAGTAGCAGATATAATAGTCTTTAAGTTGTCTGGATTTTATAGCTGAAACATTTTTTATTTTTTTTATTGTTGCTTTTTATCACAATGCATTTTTTACATTCAATAAGGAAGTAATTTCGATCCATACTGCTTACTTGATATAGAATGTAAAACAACTTGAGAACCATGATAAATAAATATGAAAGATAAACAATAAAAACAATTAGATTGTAAGGAAAATAAAGATTGCTCGATTTAGAGCAGAAGTTCTAACCTTATTGATAAAGATATATTCATACTCAATCTGGTCAAACCAATAGAGCAAACTTAAATGTGAATTAAAAATATAGAAAAAGATAAAACTGTAAATTTCATGTTCTAACAATAATTACTTTCACTTCATCTGCAATAATAGACTAAAAAAAATGATATAAAAAGATTTTTTGATAAATTTCTTAATACAAAAGTGTACTAATTTTTTATGGTTATTTAAATTGTTGAAAAGGTGCATTTCTTTATTTTTATTTATATATAAAAGGACAAGAACTAGAATTCAATCAGCTAAGGAGAATTTCAAAAATTTCAAAAGATTAATAGAAGTATTAACAGTTAACCAATTCAGAGTAAAACATTTAAGCATAAATTAATATTAAATATTCTCTTGTCAACCAGGTATTTTTATGTTTTCCCCAAGTAAATGAAGGCAGATCAATCTTCTACACTCTTAGATAAAAGATGTTTCAGAAGATAACACATTGCATTGCAAAAGTCTCATTTGTAAGGATTTATATTTTGTATGGAGGCTTTATTTTTGAAACTGAGTATTGTCCATGTAGACAATATGTGACACAGAAACCCCAAACATTGAAAGAATGTGAAAATAAAAGAGAAAGGGTACAAAGAATTATACAGAACATTGCACTGGGTGATTGAGAAAATGTGTCAGGAAAGATAAATGACTGAATAAAATAGTAAAAAAGAAAAAATGAGTGAGATTACTCATTGGTTTCTTTGAAGTAACATTCTCATTTTTGGAATGTCTTCTGAATGCTATGTTTCAAGTCAATAAATCATTGATCATCTTTAGACATCACAATATTATTTTATCTTTGTATAGAAGCTACTGAATAGCACTGATAATGCTCCCTCTTTCAGATATACATATGTAACTATATATGCATTCTCTCTCATCTATATAGTGCAAATTAAATTATTTTGGTAAAATTTGAGATGTAGAAAGAAATAAGAAAAGAAGACAAGGTGACAAAAGTATATTCTGAATGCAGTAACAGATCAGTGGGACATGATTAAAATGGTTGCAAAGAATAATGAAGAAAACAGCAAGTATAAGTTGAAACATTTTTTGGGTCCGATGAAGGACTTTGTAAAGAGAGAGATCACTGTATATTTAAAAGATTGGGAACAGATCAAATGAGATGTATATCGAAAAAAATCTTGATTGAAAGATCGGGCAAAAATTAAAACAAGATTGAAAAAGAAAATAGATTTCTGACAAAAGCTGCTATAAATAGTGATATTATTGTGGAAAAGTTATTTTTTGTTAAGCTATAAGTATTTTGACAATTTTTGGATGGGTGACATGAATCTTAGCAGCAATTATGTAGTATGTGATCTATCTCACAGCTATTTTTTTTTATTAAATTTAAAAAGATGAGTGAAAATTAAAATGTTCATAACATATTTTATAGCGTATTGCCATTTATTAGATATATGATAAAATATAGAAATGGTAAAAATAAAAAATGATGGCAATATTTAAATAATTTTGTAATTACATTGTACTTATAAAATATCAAAAACTTTTCTTGCATTTTTTGTTTATATCCATTATTTCCAGAATATTATGTTAAACAAATAGTATTTGAATAATTATAATTTCTGTCACAAGAAGAATTACGATGACATAGAAAAGTGTTACACAAAAAATATATGTATGTATGTATACACATTGTGTTTTATATAGGTACCTCCAAAGAAAAGCAATACCTAAGGTTTAAAATGCATTTTTAAAAATGAAAAATTATTCTTGAAGTTTTTATTTTAGTTCAAATTTCAAGCTAATAGATTAAATTTAATATTTCTAATGAGCAAAATAACTTTAAATTGATGGGTATCAGTTTGTTTTTTTTTTGCTATTTATGATTAGTAAATATAGTTTTTATTTAATAACAATATCACCTAACCACTACAAATTAATACAGAATTTTTAAAAATTTAAATCTTTATAAATTATTTTAATTAAATTTGTAAAAAATGAAAACAATTCTTGTAAAAATTCATTATTCATTGAAAAAAATATTTTTCTTAAGACATTAGTGGTCATAAAAACAATGAAAAGCTTTTCTAATTAAGTAATGTCTTAGTTTTAATTTATTTTTCATTTTATGATTTAGATCAGAATTTTGCGAAATTTCCTAAAATTAAAAGTGGGATATAGCAGATGTGAAAAAGAAAAGATTTTTACAAAGATTTTTTTAAAAAGAAACATTTATAAATAATTTAATTCATTTGTGAATAAGTCTTGAAAGTTTCATTAAAATCTAACAATTATCTGATTTTTTGCAAGAATTTTCCAAATCATTGCTAAAAGATGCTAACATTTCCCATACTAATTTCTGGTTACCAACAGGTAACCAGAAATTAGTATGGGAATTTTTGGTTAAAAATTTTATTTTTCTTGTATCAACAGATACAAGAAAAATAAAATTTTTAACCAAAATTTTCAAGATTTATCTATATTTCTAAGATGAGATATTGTAATTATTTACATTGTTCAGAATGTTGTCCTCATCTTTGTTGAATTGTGAGTTCAATATCTGGCCACTACAGTGGTAAACAAAAACTTGGTGAGTTGAGTTAAAGAGAGATGACTGAGACATCGAGAAGAGGCATGGCACATGGAATTAGAACAATCTACCCAGGGGGATGAAATGAAGGGTCAAGTTTGAAATTCCAATCAACTGAAGAAGGCTGGAGCATACAATAGCTGAAATGTCTTGAATATGGTAACAAAGATGAGAACAACTGCAAAAGTATTCCAAAAGTAACAAAAGATAATATATTTCAAACCTGTTTACATTATTTACATTGTTTGGACTATTGTCTTCATCTTTATTGTCATATTCACAATGTTTTGGCAGTTGTACACTTAGATGAAATGTCATGACTATGACAATAAAGATGAGGACAATAGTCCGAACAATGTAAATAATTATAATACCTCATCTCAGAAATATTACAAAACTAGTTAGATGCCATTTTTCCAGACTGTCACTTGGCTTCTGGTTTATTATCAGGAAAGTTCAACCTTTAAAGTCATACCATTGACATCTGTCTCCCATAACATGGCACAAAATAAGATAAGAGGCATTATTTTTAGAGTGATCCTTGTATTTATATATGTTAGAACCATGGTTCTTAAGCAGGAGAACTGGTGCAAGTACTGCAAGCTTCAGTTCTTGGGGCTGTGAAGAAGGGGTCAAGAAATTTTCTTAAATCTGAGACAAAAGTGGTAAGAGAAAGTGGAAGTAAAGAAATGAACATCAAAGGACACCGCACATATACGCACATAGACCTGTACAATTAAAATAAATTACCAATTTAGAAGCAAAATCAGATCCAAATTTAAAATGATAATTAATTTAAAAGTAGATTGTTTGGGCCAAACAGATATGTAGCCTGTCTTCTACATCTGTCGACTTAGGGACATATCACATTGAAACACCAATTTTCATCTGATCACTGTATTTAAGCAACATCGAGCCTGATCAGTATCTAGATGGATGACCATTTGGAAATAACATGTTACTGTAAACTTGGATATGCCAGTGGTGTAATGGAAATCAGAGAAACAAGTTACAATAACAATTGTATTCATTATATTTACTTATGCACAAATATCATTGGAAAATCTACTTCTTCTCTCCCCAGAAAAATAGTAGGATTTGTATCAATAAAATCATTATTAACCCCAAACAAATTTTTACGATCTCAAAATATTTTCTGGCTTTAAATAACCTGCAAAAGGTTAAGCTATAAAAAATAATCATTCAGTCTACATATGTGTAAAGATTGAGAAATTCTCCTATTTCAATTATTTAGTCAGCATCTGATTTGTGACATGGTAAATTGAATACATTATTTTTTTTCACAGAACATACTCAAAATATTCAAGAAAAGGAAATGGAATGATGATTACTATTGTTTTGTGTACACTTGTACAACAGAAAATGATACAATGGAAAGACATTTTATGC